CAAAAGTCTTTTATGACAAAGCAATAGCCAGAATCACACTAAATGAAGAAAAGCTTAAAACTTTCCTCCTAAAAGCAGGAACATGACAGTGATGTCTGCTGTCACTGTTGAGGCACAGTTAACATGTAGAAACACATTCAGGAGATGGTAAACTTATAGATATTTCATGATTAATTAGAGGTCTCTGACCAAGTTGCCATTCTGCTGTTTCTGCCAAACTCAATTGACCCTGACAGTGTCCACAGCCCAGCTGCAGATGAACACTGAATCAGAGTAGCTCCCTGTACCTTAACGCACCCTGGGCTGATCCATGCTCATTCAATAAACACCCTCACTCCAGAACATTTCTATACTATGGCAATGCCCTTAACTGTGCTCATTCTGTAAGATCCCCCTGGCCTGATTCCTGCAGTGTTTCTATTGGTTTAAGGCTAGCCTGTCTGTCAACATATGATTCAATGTATGTAATCAATCATGTATTATTTGGTCACCTGCTGTGTACCTCGCACTTCTATTTCTATATAGAATAGACTCCTTCCTGATTCAGGAAGGTTGCTTTAGAGGAATTATCCCTTCAACAGTTCACTGGCATGAAAATCCAACAGTCCGCTGGTATAAAGATTAAATGCTGCCTTCTCATTTCCTCAGTGCAAAGAGTTTTTCTTTTGGTTTGGTTTAGTTTGGCTTGGCTTGGAAAATTTCCCACAACATCAATACTTTCTATAGAACACAGTTTTCAAAGTATTAACTACAATAAGACAACAGATATAAATAAGAGTCATGGAGAAAGAAGGAAGATATTAAATTATGATTATTTGCTGATAACAAGATCCTCTAAATAGCAGACCTGAAAAACTCCGACAGACTCCAAGAACTGATATCCAGATTCAGCAGGATAGCAGTATACGAAGTCAACACTCAAGCACCAATAGATTCTTGCACACTAGTAACAAAATCACTGAGAGGAAAATAAGAGAAACAATACCTTTTAAAAAGTATCTAGAAACATGAAATTCCCAAGAGTTAACTTATCAAAGAAAGTGAAGATCCAAGAGTTAACTTATCAAAGAAAGTGAAGACTTCTACAATGAAAATTATAGTGCTCTGAAAAGGGAAATTTAAGAGGATACCGGAGTATGGAAAGATAACACATCCTGGATAGGCAGAATCCAGATAGTCAAATGACCACAATCCCACAATTGTTACACAGGTTTAATGCAATCACAATCAAAATACCAGTAATATACCTTACAGAACTGGAGGAAACAATTTTAAAATTACTATGGAAACAGAAAAACATAGAACAGCAAAAATAGTTCTGGTCAGTAAGGGCAAGGGACGGGCATCCCAATCCTGGATTCCTGCTGTACTACACAGCTACAGTAATTAAAAAAAAAACATAGTATTGGCAAAACAAATAAACTTTTTGATCAATGGAACAGAATAGAAGATACAGAGGCAACTCCAGGCATATTCAGCTATGTAATTTTTCACAAAAGGGCCAAATTGCTGTTCTAGAGAAAAGACAGCCTCTTTAACAAATAGTGTGAAAACTTCGAGAAGAATTAAAAATATCATATCACAGTGATATGTAGTCACCTATGTTTACGGCAGCACAGTTTGTAATAGAGAAATCTTGGAAACAACCCAAATACTCATCAACAAAGGAATGCATAAAAAAGTTATGTTTTTTGATATACAATGCAGTCATACTCAGACATAAAGAAAGATAAACTTTTCATTCCTAGGTAAATGGATGAGACCATACTTTTAAGTCAAATAAATTGGACACAAATGTGTAAATATTTCATTACTTTCCAGGTATGAGATATTGAAAGTGTAAAAATGGATCAAAGTGCATTGAAAGGCAATGTAAGTTAGGAAAGCATTGTTGAAAAAAGGGATTTAAGGAAAAGGGGAAGGAAAAAAGGGAAAAGAAACAAAAGATAAAAGAATCATAAAATGGACAGAAAACTTTGTCAATAAGATGGGGAAGTGGGGTTGGAGGGAGTGGAGGCAATTGGAAAAAAAGGGGAACCAAATATACCATATACAGGTATAAATTCCCTATGATGAATATGATCACTATGCATATCTAAATTATACCAATAAGGTCAATAAGAATTAAAGAGGAAAATAAAACTGCTAAAGATTGAATGCAAACCTCTATCTCTCACAGTGCACTAATCTAAAATTAAAATGAATCGAAGATCTGAACAGTAGCATAGAAACAATCTCCTGGAAAATTAAATAGAGAAAATTCTTGCAGACATATGTATACGCAAACAGTTTCTGAACAAAATCTAGTTGCACAAGATATAATACTAAGAATTCACAAATGAAATCATATCACTTAAAAAGCTTATATAGGCTGGAGATTTGGCTTAGTGGCATAAGTGTCTGCCTGGCAAGCACAAGGTCATGAGTTCAATCCTGGTACAAAAACAAAACAAAACAATAAAACCACTTATGTAAAGCAAAATAAATCACTAATAGGGTGAAGAGACAGTTTACATAATGGAAAAAAAAAAACATTTTCCAGGAAGTTGTCAGACAATGGACTAATATCTAGAATATGTAAAGAACTCCAAAGAATGAGACTACCCAAATGTAAATACCCAGTTAAAAATAGGTATCTCAAATAGACATCTCTCAAATAAAGAAATGCATACAGCCAATAAATATACTCAAAAATATCAACATTGCTGACCATTCGAGCAATACAAATTGAAACAACATGGAAATTTCATCTCACTCCAGAAGGAATGTCTACTCTCAAGAAGTTAACCATTAACAAATGCTGTTGAAGTTGTGGGAGAAGGAAATGCTTCTCCACTGTTGATGGAATTGTAAACTGATACAGTTGCTATGGGAACCTGTATAGAGATTCCTTAAAAAAACTAGAAGTATAGAAGTATAAATTCTATTTTACCCAACTAGTTCCCTTCTAGATATCTTATCATAAAAGTTAAAGATGTCAAACCACAGTGATATAGATATGTACATCCCTATGTTTATAGCTGTGCAATTTGTAATGGATGAATGGATAAGAACTGTTGTTGTATTTATACACAAAGGAATGCTACTCTTCCATAAAATGAATAAATTTTTTGTAGGGCAATTTTTTGAGGTTGCAAAATAAAACACAGGTAATATGAAAAAGAGAAAGAAGAGAAAAAGGTACTGTAAGCCAGTGTGCAAAATGCATCTAAATGTGTACCTTGATTTAGTACAATTGTTTTACATGTTTAAATGGTTTTTGTCCTATTAGTCTGGCTTTCTATCTGTAAATATGATAACTAACTGTGTAAAGTCTTATAGATTAATAAATAAATCTAATGTTGGAAAAAACAACAAAAAGGAAGGCAGAGAGGGAAAATGTGTTACGTACATGCATCGATTACCTACAGTGAATGTAATCAATACGTACAGCAAACACATACTAATGACAGAAAAAAGTAAACAAAGTGTAACCTAATGTAGGCTACATTCTTTTAACCAAGCAGCTCATGTCCAACCAAGCAGTTATCCGGCCCGCGGATCAGTCTGTGGGCCTCACCTGGAGAGGGGACAGAGATGGGGTGCTGGGCAAGAGGAGAGAGAGAAGGAGACAAGATGAAAGGTTCCAATCAAGTCTCATTCATTCTGAAAATGGCGACAACTTATATAGGGTGGAGGTGGGCCAACAGGGCAGGAAGAGGGCATGGAGTGCTATCTGATAGGTCATTGTCACATCTGAATATATGACGTAAGCAGGAGGGGATTATGGGTAATGTAGGCAAACATGAGGATCATGGGAAATGTAGGTGGACACGGCAGAGGCCCACAGGAGGGGGAGATAAGGTGGCAGCAGTGAGATATGCCTCTCCCTACATCTCCTCCCTATTTATTTATAATATCAAGAGTATGGCAGGCCTTGTGAGGATGGTGCCTGTCTTGGGTCATGGACTCTCTTTGTGATCCCAACCAGGCCTTTCCTGTCATGGGCCTGCAGGACAGCAGTTGGTCCTGTGCCTGTCTTAGGTGGCTTGGCGGTGTGACGTAAATGTCCAAGTTGCCTGTCTCTGGCTGCCCATCCAGTGCCTCAGGCATTAGGGCCACATCATTATGTGGACCATTGGTGGATGTTCTTTCCCAATAAGTTTGTTGTTCTGCCATCTCCAATTGATGGTAATGTACCTGAATGGGCTTTGCCATAAACACGTCAATTCTGTTATTAAGGAGTGTCATGATCCTCTGGAAAATACAAGGGCCTACAGTAAGGAGTAGCAATAAAGCAGTGAGGGGTCCCAAGAGGGGGGCAATGTAAGAGAAGAGACCCCCCCCACATGGAAGAGAAGGTAGTTTCTTTGAGGCACTCCTTTTCTCTCTCTCTGAGGCATTCTCTTAGCTTAGTCATGGACTCTCTGATGACTCCTGAGTGGTCGGCATAAAAATGGCATTCTTCTTTGAGGGCAGCACATAAGCCACCCTCCTTCATAAATAGGAGGTCTAGTCCTCTTCTATTTTTTGGACTACCTCAGATAAAGATGTCAAGGATGCCTGTAGAGCCATTACAGATGGGCTGCAGGAGTGTCAATGATCCCTATTGAAAATGGCCTAAACTAGCTTTTGTTAGGTTGGGGGCAGGGGAGATGGGGGCCTTAATGCCTGTGCCCTGTTTTCCTAGGCCCTGATTTGGGAGAAATCCATTTTTGAGCATTTGTGCTGTGACTATACTGTTGGGGCTACCCATAATTATTCCCATTTGGCTAAGTAAGTCTCTGCCCCATAAATTAAGAGGAATTCCCTAACAACATAAGGGTGTATGTGGCCCTTCTTGCCTTCTTGATCTTTCCATATGAGAAGGTTGACACTACGCTGGAGGTTTTTTGATTGTCCAGTTCCTTGTAGATGGATCATGGAAGTCTCTAAGGGCCAAGTGAGGGACCAGTCCTCTTTTATAATAATAGTCATATCAGCACCTGTATCTATGAGGCCTGAAAAACTTTCCATCTAACTGTAAGGTCATAAGGGGCTTATCTTTAGATATGGACTGGGCCCAATATACATCTGAGGACCCAAGAGATGAGTCTCCCCTATAGAAAGCCAAGGCAGTGTTGCGAGTCTGAACCAATGGCAACAGCACCAATTGGGCAATACATTGTCCCTGTTTAATAGAGATGACACCAGAAACGGAAGAAGCCATGATTTTAATTTCTCCTGTATAGTCACTGTCTAAGACCCTGGGAATTTGTAACCCTTTAAATATGATACCGTCACGTCCAAGTATCAACTTGAATGTATTGGTGGAAGGGAGGCCAAAAATCCCTGTAAGGATGACTTGAGCACCCGTATCTGGGGTTAATACTGTGTTGGAAGTGGAATCTTGAGGTCCAATCCTGTGCTTCCTGTTGTGACGCGGAGGAGGTCTGAGATGGATTGTTTTGTGCTGGGCTGTTTTGTTGTGGGACCAACCTTATAGCCCTGGGGGCTTGTCCTGGGTAGGGGGTTTGGAGCTGACCCCGATTCCCGTTTCCCTGCTGGGGGAGGGGGTTGCCATCTACTCCCGTTTTTGATCTGCATTCATTAGCCCAATGATATCCCTTTCTGCATCTCGGGCATAAGTTTGTGGGTTTGGTTTTGGGTTATTGTGTTGGGACTTTTGGGCCGTAGGGCAGTCTCTGGCAAAATGGCCTATCTGATCACATTTAAAACATTTGCCATTATTTATTTTCCCTCCTTGCTGTGTGCAAGGAGGATCTCCTTTACCACTACAGCTGTACATGCAGTTGTGACCTGAGCTTGATGGTAGGCAGGGCTTAAGTCAGCGCACAAGTGAATATAACCTGAGAGATCCTCCTTTTTTCTATATGGTTTGATAGCAGCCTGGTAGGCAGGATTAGCATTTTCATAAGGCAATTGTTTAACAAGGTCAGAGTTGTCCTCGGAGGTGCCAAAGAGATGCTCAGTTGCCTGTAAGAGGCAATCAACGAAATCAGAGAAGGGTTCCTTAGGTTTCTGTTTTATTTTTGTAAGGGAAGAAGTGACTCCACCAGAGGGGAGATTTTTTCCATGCTTTGATTGCTGCCAGAGTGATCTGAGCAAAAAGGCCTGCATTTGAGCTTAGTGTTTAGCATATCAACCTGTTCCTGTTAGCATGCAAAGAGTATAATGATTTCTCCTGTTAGCATTATCTTTAGGTAAAAGTTCACACTGGTCTTTGAATTCTGCCTTCCAGAGCAGATAATTACCCCCAGAGAGTGTAGCTCTGGTTAAATCCCTCCAAGCATTAGGCATAATCCAGCCTTGGGTTAAGGAATTTAAAACCACAAGGGTGAAGGCTGCCGTGGGACCATATTGGGATATTGCTGTTTTTAATTCTTTCAGGGCAATTACTGGGAACAGTGTATGGGCCCTCTAGTCCTCGGTGCTAGGGGTGGTGGGTCTGTGTCTGTATCACTATCATTTGGATCCGAAGCACTATCAGTTTCTATATTCCATGTCTGTAGTTGCAGTGGCTGTCTTTTTTTGTTTCCCCTAGTTGTTGTAATGGCCTGTGTTTTATCCCTTCTATGTTCCTGGCTTGGGGATCGATCCCCGCATCTAGTTTGTCTTTTTTTGTCTCCCCCTTTCTTTAGTTGTTTCACTGACGCCATCTTGTGGACCGGCGCCATCTTGGGTGGGTCGAGTTGTCTCTCCGCCATTTTGTAAGTCATCACCACCTGTGCCAGTTGGAGCGGTTTCTGTTACCGGAAAAAGTAAAGGAGGTGCCATTTTTAAGGTATCTGTTTTTGGAGGGTGAGTTATTTCTGTTACTGAGAACATCATTGTTGGTGCATCTAAAGGGGACGAGAGACTACATCTAGCGACTGAAGTTGTAAAATGAGTCTTTGTCTCTCCTGTTTTAATTGAAGCCACTGTTGTAAATAATGGATCTCTGTCTCTAGATCAAGGAGATCAGGAGGTGGACCAGGCAGCTTTCGGAAGCCAAACAGAGGGTTATCTATCTTTTTTGTTATGCCTTTTGTCACTAAATTAGGCTCGACAGATAGCACAGGGGCTACAAAAGGGGGTCTCTCACTCTGATACTGAATAGCCTCTTCCACTAGTTGTGACCGATTAATCTTTGGGAGATCAGAAAGATCAGGATATATAGGCTTATATGACGGAGGGGGTGTGGTGGCACTGAGCTCTATGGAGCACTGGCAGCCAGTCTGAATGGTGGTGCCATTTTGAGTACCCCCATGTGTTTCAGAAAGGGGAAATGGCAGCAATTCACCATTTTGGAAGTCTCCGGAGGAGAAGTCTCTGGAGGAGAAGTCGCCATCTTGAGGGGGCTCCAGAATATGAAGAACCACAGAGCCAGGAGAGCTGGGTGCTTTGGATAAGTCTGGCAGCTCTGGGGTACTATTGCGGGAGGCAGATAATGCAACCTCACCCTAAGCAAGCATCTCTGCAATCTAGGGATCTGCGTGACGTTGCATCAGCAGCTCAGAGATTAAAGTCCAATGTGTGAAAGAAGTTACCGGAACCCTTTCTGGACCAAAGACCCTACAATATTTTTTGAGAGCATCTCCTACTCTTTGCCATCTTTTTAAGTCAATGGAGCCCTCTAGAAGGAACCAGGGACACACAGAATGCACAAACTGAAAGTACTGTAATAAATCTTTAGTTTTAACCTTAATCCCTCTAACCTTGAGTGCCTCCCTGAGGCTGTTTACGAACAATTTGTGTTCACTAAGTGCTTGCCCCATGACAATCCCATTCACCTACCGTGATTCAGGCAAAACATAAGGTGGCCATCTGCACAGATCACAGGGACAAAGTTCCGAAACAGTCACGCTGGCTGGCGATTTACTCCCGTGAACAGTCCCACGATGAAATCTCTCGTGCCAGGTCGAACCCCCATGTTGGGCGCCACTTGATCTGGCCCACAGATCAGTCTGTGGGCCTAGCCTGGAGAGGGGACAGAGATGGGGGCTGGGCAAGAGGAGAGAGAGATGGAGACAAGATGAAAGGTTCTAATCAAGTCTCATTTATTCTGAAAATGGTGACAACTTATATAGGGTGGGGGTGGGTCAACGGGGCAGGGAGAGGGCATGGAGTGCTATCTGATAAGTCATCGTCACATCCAGATATATGACATAAGCAGGAGGGGATTATGGGTAATGTAGGCAGACATGAGGATCGTGGGAAATGTAGGCAGATGTGGCAGAGGCCCACAGGAGGGTGAGATAAGGTGGCAGCAGTGAGATATGCCGCTCCCTACAAAGCAGGAACAGTTCAGTTGCAGCCAGTTCCAGGCTGTCAGGTGTCTTACCTTGCTGATAGAAGGCAATGTCAAGGGCAGTCATCAGGGTATTCACCTCCCTCACTTTCTGTTTCTCGTTACAACTGTAACTGCTAAAGATGCTAGCATGTGTGCGTGGGGGGCGGGGGGCGACCCTGGATGGTCTCTGTTCAAGTAAGCTTTGTCACACTATAGATTGTCTTCATTTTTGTTTCATATTTTTCTATGGGAAGGGTTTGATGATGGTTAATTCTGTCAGTATTTATTTCTGTGCTCTGTTCTTAGAAGATATTTTCTTTGACTCAAAACAACATATGAATACAGATACAATAATGATATGTGATTTTACTATTCAAATAAAAAATCACAAAAGAAGAAAGTAAAAATTAATGCCTCTACTCTTTAGAAGAGTGGTGTGCTGGGTACATTTTTCACAACATTTGCGTGTGTCCTTTGACCCTCGATGCTGTTATAAAGTGTGCATTGAAGCATGAAGGATTAGGTGTTTTTATCAATAATTATTTCTTGAGTTTTACACTTATTCTTTGATAATACTAGAAACTTTTTAGCAATTTTAATACTACCTTTTAATACTACCTCTTCATCTTTAGCTTTTCTCTAAAATATAAGAATATTAGTATATTTGTCTTCCTTATAATGTCCATGCAATTAATCTCTTGTCTTCCATTTTTGGATTTAATTTTTGTTTCATAATTCCTTTCAGTGTTATCTAAATTACAAAATAACTCATGAAACAAAATTTTATCATATTTACTTACTTATGTATGTATGATTCCTATACTTTAAAATGTAATTTTGTATTTTCCTTTCCTTCTTTTCCATTTTCCCCCAAAGGGGAGGGGAATATATATATATATATATATATATATATATATATATATATATGACATTTAAGATAGTTACACTGCTAGTTTCTCTAAGTTCATTGAAAATTTTGTGTTAATGTTGTTTGTATAATGTGCCCTGAGTAACTACTCTGAAGATAAAATACATAATATATTAATTATTATTAATGATTATAGTTTGAAATTGTTATTTTCTGTTTTTAAAATAAAAACAGTGTAATTTTGCCTAATTTTCATAATCAGTTTTATATGAGAAAATTATATGATATATAACTAAGTATAAATATTTATGCACATTATTTGTTTGTATATAACATGTGTATATAAATAAAATAAGTTAATTTTTATTAATTGGTAATTTGAATTTTTATTATTTCTATATAATATAAATAACTATTTTATATTCTAATTGTGACATATCAGTGTCTTAATCTTTGGAACTTAAATACATTTTTTTTTCATTTTTTCCTCATGATTCTTGCCTAGGATATAAGGATAGTAATTTGGTTAGGAGAATAAGGCATTCGTCTGGGTACAAAATTTAAGGAATCAAAATATTCAGTAATAAAATTTTAAAGTTTTAAAAAATAATAATAACTCAATGTTCAATGATATAATTTATCAGACATTTAAAGAAAAAAAGATCTACTCTGACACTGCACAAGTACACTATTTGCCTCAATTTAATTTATTAGTGACACAACTTTCCTTTTCAACTTTTACAGTTAATTATAGATGCTTATATTTAATTTTATTTGTTAAAATGACAAAGTAAGGTATTATTGATCTTAATCATTGTATATTTTGCTGTGTCCTTAAGCTTGGCATGAGTGCAAGTTACACTTTTGTTATACTGACCTTCTTGTCCTTGTTGTGACATCTTTTTCTTTGTGTTTTTAGGAATGTCTTTGTTATGCCATACATTTAGTTTAGCTTAATTTATAGAAAAGCTGAATATTCTGATTGGTAAGGGGATGCTCCCTGGCATGCGGAAGGACTCCAGTTTGTGTCTTATATCTCTGATCATGTTAAATAGAAATACAAACCTAGACCCAGTGTGGGAAAATTTTATGTTAACATTTCACCATAAATTATTGGTTGTTATCATTTTTTTAAATTGGAGACATCAACAGATTATTTCATTTTCTGCTTCCAATTAGGCAATGGAGTTTGCTCTTTTTTCTGTTCTTAACAAGGATGTATAAATAGTTAGGCTTGACATTTTATGAAAGATTTGCACTCAGTCTCTACCTATTTTTATCAGTCAGTGGGAAACTTATTAGGTGGATTTCTTGTCCCTCACATCTCCTGGTTCCAGAAACAAATATTTTCCTTGCACAAATATTTTCCCTGCATCTGTAAAATTTCCCAGTGTTTTAAAGTGTGTGTGTATTTGGAGGATCATATAATTTCTCCTGATCTCAGACAAAACCCTGCATTATACAGGTACTCTTCCACTTGCTCTGGTGTTACATTCTGATAAATCAATGCATTACACTTGAAACTGCAGTCAACTGAAATGCATTCAGTCCATCTAGCCTATCATCGCTTGGCATAACCTGCCTGAATATGCTTAAAAACCCTATGAGAGTGCAGTTAAAGGAAATTATACAATAGAAATTTTATAATAAAATATTGTATATCATGATCTAATTTATTAAATACTACACTGAAAATGAAAAACAGAAAACTTGTATGGGTACACTTTTGCACCAACAGCAAGTTAAATAATCTTAACTTGGATATGCCTTCATGGATTATGTGGCTTATAGAGAGCAGAAATTTATTTCTCATACTCCTGAAGGCTGAGAAATCTAAGACTGAGACATTATCAGATTTAATATCTGGTGTGGCCCATTTCTTGTTTCACAGATTATACCTTTTATATCCTCACAGAGTAGAAGGGAAGTTGTCATTATGGGGTTACATTTGTATGATCATTAATTAATTATGAGGCTTCTTATGAATGAGTTCTTTCTTAAGAGTTCCATCTTTTAATAATATCATCTAAATGCTTAAACTTTAACATAAGAATTTAAGAGTCACACAGTGGTTCAGACCACAGCAAGAAATTGGTGAAGATGTATTTAATTAGAACATAAATGTTATGAAAATGTTTATTTCTTTGGAAAAGAAATTCTTTCTTTAAAATTAATTTTATTGGTACATTTTACATATACATAATAATCATATTCATTACACAGAATTTGTACCTTAATACTCCTTTTTCCCCATTCTTTCACCTCCCTTCATTCCCTCTTATCTCCTTATTTACAAAAGTTTTATTTCTATTTTTTCCTTCTTTTCTCTTATTTTTCTTATTGTCCCCCGTCCCCTTCCTAGGTTTCTTTCCCATTTGCACATTTTCTTCCTATCTCACAATGTCTATGGAACAGAAACTCTTGTGAGTGTATTCCACTATGCTTCTATTTTCATTTTGAGGCAGAAGCTGTATATCAGATCATGTCATAGTCAATTTAAGAAGGAGCTTTATGGTTCAGATTTTCCTCCAGCTTGACTTCTAGTATTTGACTTTAATGTGGAGACACCTTTGCTGATTAAACCTGATTGCGACAACTTGATTAGTTTGGCAGGCTTTGGGAAGAATAGTAAAGCAGAAACCTGGATACTTCTGAATGGGGCATGATGCATGAACTTGAACATGAACCTGG